GGCGGGAGAATGCGCGCGCAGCCAGCAGCCACGCTGCTGCCGGTGGGTTTAGAGTCGGCCGCGTGGTCGGCCCGCTTCAGTAACTCCGAAACCTTCGAGCGGGTGAGTCACGTCCGATTTCGATCCTGGTCGCGAACGCCGACACGCGCCAAAACCGCTTTTTCTCCTCGTCAAGTTAACACCGTCGCGTTTCTTTCGACACTCTCGCGTTCTAACTGTTCTCTTAATCGAACGATGAAAAATTGTATTCGTTCGAACCGTTCGATACAGTGAAACGTACGATCGTGCCTGTCGTGTTTATAAACATACGGGAGCAGACGCGCGATCCCGTGCGACTCTGTCAGATTTTTGTGGTTCGTGAAGTATCGTGAACTCTCGAGAATTTATCGTGTGATGTTCCCAGTGTAAAATCGTAGACAGTTCCGTTTGCGTTCAGTTTCATTGCATTTAGCGAAATCGCGTTCACCATGAAGGCGTTTCGTTTGGTAACCATCGTTTCGGCGTTGCTGGTGCTCGTTTCCTCCGAACCGGATACCACTCCGAAATTGACGATTTTGAAGTGTTGCCGCCACAAAGAGGAACTGGTGAAAGTCAGCGACAAAGAGACGATAACTCGTTGCGAAGCCTCCAAGAACGAGTGGAAACCCGTCATTTACTCGTCGTCCCTTAAAACTTTCCTGTTCACTCCGCCGGATGAATGGAACATCGTTCAGGGAAGGAAGCCACAATGCGGCGACAATTCGGAGCTGATCTACGTGCCCTACAGAAACTCCAATCCGTTTGTACTTATGGAGAACGGTAACGTCCTACTCGAAATCGATTCCGGGGACAAATTCGAACCGCACGAGTACTGCGTTGACTCGAATGCGCTACTCGTGTGCGTGCAAAGAAGAATGGACGGAAACCACTTGGCTGCCACCATGAGACCACGAGTTAAAAAGTGCTGTGGCGAAGACGCTGTTTATCACGACAAACTGTGAGTTTTTTTATCTAATTTGAAATCTGTTGTTACGGTTTTATCTCTAGTGAATCGCTTCACTCTTTAGACCCGGAGATTTTGTTTTAGCCTTTAAAATTTTCCTTCTGAAGGAACAGCTGAGTGCAGAGTTAAACTTTCACGAGAAGCGTTAATACGTAAAAAAATGAACAAACACGTGATTTAACGAACGTGAAAGTTAAAAAGAGAAGTTACCGACGTAACGTAGTAACTTTGTCTAGATGTAAGATAATTTGTTACATTTTCTTTCGGGCGAAACATGTGGAAACGACATTCGCTTTGAAGATACACGCGTCTGAATTCCTCGGAGCGTTACGGATTCCAAAACACGAAACACGAGGTATTTAGGAAATAAAATAAAAAAATATTCGTTTGTAGGGTCGAGAGAAATTCGTCGGTTCGCTTGGCACGGTGTATTTTTATTGACAGGCTCGTTGCCGTTTGACGCCCGGCTCGGAAATAAATGATCGAAAGTTGCAGCAATCGAGCTTTCCCTTGGAATCGATGTTTGCGATGCAAGCGTGACGCTCGAGCAAACAAAAAAAATGTTGGGTTCCGTTTTAATCGCGTTTCCAATCGCTCGTGCTTGGGCGTTTCGTTGGACTTTGTTGGCATTCTGTGTGTAGCCAACGAACGTTTCCTAGATAAATTCATGCGATACGGGTAGCTCCTTTTTCCGTGCCATTCGGCTGCCAGTTACGTTCTCCACGGTTTGAGTAACCGGGAAAATCACGTCATAATGCGCGTTTCAAAAATCTCAAGTACCGATGTTTTAATAAACATTTTTTCGTGATGCAACCTTTACTCGTTTCCTGACACGTACTTCTTAAAACCTTCAGACACAGATCTTAGAATATCGAGAGTTTAACTTTGCAACTCGTAAACCTGGATGAATCAGTCTTATCCGAGATTCTTGTTTTGCAAACATCAATGAAACGTCATCGGTTGCGGCGTTTAAAGAACGGTAGAAATCTTAGTCTAGAAGGAAGGAAATGAAAGAAATCTGATTCTCAGGTTCTAAAGGACCCACTGATGGTCGAGTGTTAATCATCCGTCAACAGAAGACGCTGTTTACTTTGAAACGGTTGATTTGGAGACCCGTATTATCCAAGCTCCTTTTGTGTTCCTCGCGTTAAAAGTAACACGAATTAACGAATTCCTGACTCACCTTTCTTCAACATCTGACTCACGCATTTGCAATGTGCAAAGATATTTACTGTCTAAATTTTTTCCAAAGTTCTTAATGATCCATGCGGATTGCGGTACTGGGACTTTCAACTATCGAACGTTTAAAAGTAACTTTCTGACCAGTATACTTTAACGCTAAACCTACCGACATATAATGTGTACTTAATTTCAAATTAAAAATGAAGTTAAAAAATAAATAAACAAACGAACCATAAATTAATACACACATTTACTCTTTATCTTGACGAAAATCAATGTTGATTTTAAGGAATGTACTTTAACAAAATGTGTTACTTGTGGAGCGGTCATTTGACCAGTTTGGTAGTTCTAGTGTTAAGTCGATTTTATAAATTTGCAAAAGTTATATCGAAGTAGACCAAATTTGGTCCCTAGAGGATAATTTACCGAGTTAATAGAGTACGTTTCGCCGTAAGGATGAGGTGTAACCGGAACTTGTTAATTTCGCAGAGGCACGTGCGCCCAGCTAAAGGAAGCCACCGATTCGACGCCGTTGCTGCCGAACGCGTCGTCCGCTGTCGAAATAGGATCGGGTTTTCCAACTTGTAATCGCTACGATAATTTCACGATCGTGGGTGACGCTAAGGATGCTGTGCTGTTACCGGATGGTGGTCTGGAAATAAGCGGACACACCTTACCTAGCAGCCAGTTCTGCGTCGAGAGGATCAAGGAACTGAATCATGTGTCCAAGGTCTTTGCCTGCTCCGAGCACACGTCGCAGAGGTTCGTACATTTGTCTAATCTTTCCATAATAAACTGGTACTATCGATAATAAACATGTACAGTTATACGATGATTAAAGGATACCCACCATAGCGCGGTAATTACGATTAATCGGAGCATTGATATATAATCGACATAATTATTACCGTTAATAACGTCACACGCATATACTCAACCGTAGATTTTACCAGTTTCTTAACTCATTCCTCGAGGTTGCAGTCCGATTTCCGCTCGTTAACGCGTCGCGTTCCTCGCGACTTAAACGAGCGCAACGAGCGTTCTACTTAACGGTGCACGTTTTTTCGTCGAACGAAATTAAAGTAATGAACGCGCCGCGAGCATACACTTTCGAAGAAAATTGATGGAAAACACCCACGACTCGCAACGAACACAAACCGATCGCACGAAATAATAATCGCGAATGTTTACGTCGAATACGTTTCCGCGATTCGAGATAGGAAATCGAGGTTAATCGTGCGTTCCCCCGTTATTCATTTCCGATCGACGCGAACGAACGATCCGGTTCGACCCAATTCGGAACTCGAATCGGTTTTTTGCCAGTATCGACCGTCTCGATCAGGATTTATCGTACGGCTTAATTGCCCGGTAGCCCCGTTGTAAGCGATTCCTTGAGAAGCGCTCAGAAAAAGTCTCGGTTCCCTCCTCACTTTCACTCCTCTTCACGAAGAATTTCTAGGTCATGTCTGTGGCTCGCGATGCGCCGCGTCATCCGTGAACGCGTTTCCGTTCGAGATGATCCGTGCCACTTGAAGCGGACTCCTTCCCTTTCGTATCGATGACGAAAGGAAAACTGTGCCGCGTGTTTCGAGCCAGAATTATCCTGCGGAATCGAGGTCGAAACATACTTCGTTTGAACAGCAATTTCTCTCAAATCGACGATCGTAGAGCTTGTCCTAAAGATCGTAAAATCTTTGAATCGATGACGGAAAGAGAAACGTGGAGCGTGAATCGATGACCGCAAAACGTAGTTGGACGAAAGCCGCGAGATGTAGGAATTAATTACGGGCCACAGAAATTCGTGACATGTTCTAAAACGGAATTTCTTGAATAACTCCGGTACTCGTACGAGCGTTCGACGTTACCGATTCTCTTTGGACGCGTTTCCGGACTTGGCATTCCTGAACGATGGCTGGTGGCAGCGTGCACGGTACAAGAGTCCTTGAAATTGCATACAGAAAATGTAGCCGCGAGTTGTGCGCCTGAATTTCTCTCGCAATTCGCAAAGCAATGCTCGAAACTCGATTAACGCGATCGTTTACATGTGGCCCGTGCACGGTGAAGGGCAGACTTTTACAAGCTTTTGCAAACGGAAACTCGACCAGTGAGCCATGTTTTATTCAAAATTCAAGATGTTTGACGTTGTTCGAACAACCGCTGGAAAAACCTGCGGTCGATGCGATACGTGGAATGGAAAAACAAATACCTTCGCGTAGAAAGTGGCACGAACCGTTGATAATACGTGCGAGTATGTATTAGCTAAGAAAAGTTTTTCTTTTCTTTTCTCTGGCACTCGCGTGCGTCGTTGTCCACGGGACGTGACTAAGCCGGGGCCTGCTCGAAATCGGAGAAACGATTTCTCTCCTACTTTCACTGCGTTCGAACTTCAATTTCGAGGAAACCGGTTAAGAATCTGCGGCAAAATTTGAATAGAAATGTCCGAGAAATCCTTTGACCAGCAGGTATAATCTGAGTGACACCGATGAATGCGCCTATTAATATTCTCGGGTTAGCGTCATTCGAAGGTGTGTACAGTCGAAAGAAAATCTGGCTGTCGGTAGGAATGGTAACCGAGAGGTCAGAGACCTGCCTCTTGTTTACTTTTAAGAATTTCAGAGATTTGACAATAGGGGGCAGGTTAAGAATTTTGGGTCCTTCGGATTAGAAAAGTTCAGAATTCGTTGCAAGTTCCTAATTTTCAAGTTCTAACTTTGTAAGCTTTCTAAAGAAACCAGTTAGACTGTACAGATGTAACTATAGTATTAAGGTAGATATAAAGGAAAAATAACAATCTACGAAGACTGTTCCAAACTCCGATAGACCCTAAAAAATTACTCGTTTAAAATTTTGAGCCGTTTCAAGCGTACTAGGATTTTAAAAAGGTTTTATCTTAGTTCGCAGTTACAGCAATGGTCGCCGGGTAAAGTTCAATTCGTAAATTAAATAAAAAGGTGTATAAAACTAAAGCTTCTTTCGCTAATCCTCTTGACCGTAAAGCGTCAAATCCTGTCGGATGTTCGCGACAGTTTAATGAGACGCGGACACTAAATCCCTGGTACTTCGTAATATGGGAGCAGTCTGCGTAGCGTATCAAACGAAAGATTACTTTAATTCGCTGGTATAAGAAAATGGAATGAACCATTTCCCTGCAAAATTTTCAGGCCGATAATGAAAGCCGCGGACATCAGGTTCACCTTGTACCCGGTGGGCTTTATCATTAGTGCAGTTTTCCTGGCAGCCACGTTGGCCGCTGGTTGGCTGCTCCCTGCCTCTCATCACGTTCTGCATTGGCGATGCCAGACTCATCACGTCGCTTGCCTGATGCTTGGTGATATTCTCATGGCCATCATTCAGCTCGCCGTAAATCACCTGCATGGCGGAAGCTGCAAGGCGGTTGGTGAGTCATTCCGCTTTATCGTTCTCTTCTTTTCGCGACACCCTTGATTCGTCTACGAGCCACGCTGCTTTCCCGCGGGACCTGGGGGATTAAATCGAAACAAACCACCGCATAAAGGTGCCTTAGAATCTCCGCGAGACGAGATTCTTGATTAGAAAACGCGTCCTTGTTTCCCGCTCGATTTTACTCATCCCCTCTGGTTCCGGTAATTTCGTCTCCCGAGCACGATCGTGTGCTTTTCTACCGAAACAGGTTTTCTGAGAATTTGAAAACTTCCGATGCCTATATGATACAGAATTTTAATTCTAAATTAACGAGTTTTACTCTTCGCGCTCGAGAGGTGCCTCTCAGGTGCCATTCGATTTAATACAATAATTTGAAATAAGCATTATTTAATTAATTCTATAATAGTGCTCATGTGATGTATAAACATAATGAAGTAGACAATAGTGGAAATTATTACTACAGAAATAATAACCTCGAAAGAACTCATTTAACATTTTAATTAATATTTTAAAGTTGCTGTTTGTAAACAATAAAATTATCTTCGAGTGCAAAGAGTTAACTTTATTCGAACGGGATAGAATATCCAAGTTCTCTATAAATTGGTCGAAAAGTCAAAGTTACGGAAACCTCATCGTTAGCGACCCTAGAACGCATCAATTTTTTACATCCGAGTCGCGACAACGCATTCATCATAGAAGAGCTATGCGGCTAAATACACCGATGGAATTCAAATGGTTCTGCGGGCCGAGTTAAGCTTTATTTGCCCGTCCGCCCCCGACCATCGGGCTAATTATTCAGATAATCGTGCTAATCCCCCGACGTTGCTTTCTCCCTGTTCGTTTTCGATCGCTGGAATCGATTATCGCCGCGCGTACACCTGCTGGCTGTACGACGACTCTCGTTTGTATTTCGTTTCCGGTATTATCGTTCCGCCATTTTTTCCGCGTACTTCCTTTTTTCCCCAGCAGATTTAGCACGGTCCATTCCGCGGGGTAATTATGTTGCACTCAGGGAATTTGCATGGAACGTATTTCTTGGCTGGTCGCGATCCCTTTGCGCGTTGACTCCTCGAACCCTGCGGCTATTTCCGTTCCTCGGAGGCCACTAAATTTCCACGAGAATCCCTCTCGGTTTCCGTGTTTCCTTTTTTTCCCCGGGCTGCTTTTGACAGAAAGCAACGATTGCAGTTTTCCGTCGTTTCATAAGCTCGATACGATCTCCGCTGCATCGGCGGAGTAAGAAGGTTTATAGCTTCCGGCGAAGAAGGAGCCGAAGGGTCGCGGACCAAGAAACGTGCTGCGAGACGAGAGAAAGTGGGACGAGGCGACGAGTGACCCACAATCCTCTCGTTCGGTTACTCCTTGTTTATTCTTCGTTCCTTCTTCTCGGAAAAACAGGCGAGAAGTTTTCTCGACCCGCACCCTATCGACGACTCCCATCTGACAATGAGAAGCTTTTACGAGCCAACTCCTTTGTTGCATTGACACACTTCGCTGATGGATTTGTTTATTTCTTCAACGCGTTAAATGCCACGTTCCTGTTTCTCACTGTCTCGTACGCCATCCTAATTGCTCTTCCAATTCCGATATATCGGTTTACGTAACGATCGAGAACATCTATGCGCACCACGAGCTCGACAGAGGTAAATCTGTTTTCCTTGTTGCTTGATCTGATTGGCGCGAATGACTGATGTAACTGCTCCTTCTGGAAATTCTGAAGCTTCAAATCTGCTTCTCGATTTCATCAATCGCTGCACTTTTTCTAGTCAGGGTTACTCACCTTACTCTGTCAGGGTTCATCTCGTGAACATGTAATTACAAAACCTGATGAAAAAAGTAAGCAGTAGAAACACCTTGTAGCTCATTTGTTAGGGAATGTTTGTTTCGTTTTCGTACGATTATGTCATTATTTAAGGCATACGTGAAACGATAAAAAAAGCAAACAGTAGGCAATGCTTGCTCAAGCAGAAGCGGCTGTTACAAAAACTGGAGCACTCTCGTTTAGCGTTTTTCATTCGTACAGCGAGCAAGCGTTGAAATAGAAACGTCAAACTTTTACCGAAGGAAATTAGCAACCGAACAAATTCAAGGTTTAGACAATTGTTCCGTGACCATCCGGGGATACGTTCGTAAAGCGAGTCCGCAAACTTCTATTCGTTTCAGCGGAGAGGGAAGTATTAAAATTCATGAACGTTTTTAATTCGATTACTTTGGTCGTCTTTCAAGAACCGACAACACTGCTGGTTAAAAATTCAACTCGATTATGTTCGTCGGTGAAATCTAGTTCCCACGATGTTAACTTGTCCTCTTTCTTCTTCTTCTTCGATCGAACGCGAGCGGAATAATTTCTGGCCGGAAATTTACTCGAGTCTCCTGCTTTGATGATCATTCTTCATTAACGAATTCATTCAAAAGTAAAAGCGGAAAGTTCTTGCAATTTGCGATATAACAAGAACTCCTTACATATAGGCCTTAACGGGAAATCCTGTTATTTGGATGGTCTCAATTAGGTGCAAAGTATAGTGATTTTACGCTTGAGTGAGTAATTTGTGTTGATTGTATGCTTGATAAAATTACGTGTGACGATTTTTAGTCGTAGTAGATACTGCGGTAAGTCAATGAGCGGTGATTCAATGTGTAGTAATGATATAGGTGGAGATTCTACGCGTAGGGATTCTACGAGTGGTAATATAAGCACGTGGCAATTCCAGCGCGTGGTGATTCGACGCGTGGTAATTCTACTCGTGCTGATTCGATGCGTGATAATTTGACGCGTGGTAATTCTTCGCGTGGTAATCTACGCGTGGTAATTCCAAGCGTGGTAATTCGACGCGTGGTAATTCTGCGCGTGGTAATTCCAAGCGTGGTAATTCCAAGCGTGGTAATTCGACGCGTGGTAATTCTGCGCGTGGTAATTCCAAGCGTGGTAATTCCAAGCGTGCTGATTCGACACGTGATAATTCGACGCGTGGTTATTCGACGCGTAATAATTCAACGCGTCGTAATTCGACGCGTGGTAATTCGGCACGTGGTAATTCTACGTGTGGTAGTTCTACGCGTGGTAATCCTTGCGCGTGGTAATTCTACGCATGGTAATCCATGCGCGTGGTAATCGCTGCGCGTGGTAATTCTACTCATGGTAATCCCTACGCATGGTAATTCTACGCGTAGTGATCCAACGCGTGATACTCTACACATGTGGTGATCTAACGCATGGTAACTGCATGCATGGCGATTCTACTTGCGATCCTTCTACGTGAAGTAATTCAACACTTGGTAATCTAAGTACGTGTTAACCTAATCGCGTACTGTTCCCAACACACGGTGATTCAAATCATGGTAATTCTACTCGTGGTAATTGAACCAGTGATAATTCTACTTGTAGTGACTCTACACATGATGGACGTTGATGGATTCAACTCTTAGTAATTCCACGATAATTCTACAAGTGATCGCGTGTTAATTCTACTTGTGATTCCATGCTTGGTGATCCAAAGCGTAATTCTACACATAATGATTTAAGGCGTGGTAAGTCAAAGCATCGCGTGATGATGCATCATGTAGACTACCTGGTCATTCGCGCAGTATGAAAAATAAGAACACGAGGGTCTACCGTAAACTTTTCAAGCCCTCTGGCGATCTGTATCGTCCATTTGATTCCATCAAAAGTTTGAATTTATTTTTCCGCGGACTCAAGTTGCCGGAAGTTGGCAACTGGCGCTACCTGTTTACTCGTTGAAGTTCCATCGATCGTTTGCGGTTCGCGGATTCCTGGTTGCAATTTTACGTAACACGCGAACCGGATTCCGTATCAACCTTCGAGGACGACGAAACAAAAAAAGGCGAATGATTTTTGCCTGTTACTGGAGACGCACTCGACTGGATATGCCATCGAGTATTCAGTTACCATAAGAAAGTCGCGTACCAGACGGAATTCGAGTCTTGGCGACGAAGACGGTTCGTCGCGACGCTAACGGTAAGGCGACTCTTCTTTTTCTTCGGGCGAGCTAACGCACGCTTATTGTTCGCGGAATCGCGCTCGTGTATCAATGGCCTTGCAACTACGCGCCATTGAATAACGGGTTAAATGCTCGATGCCGCAATTACGGGACTTTTTTTCAGCGTTTCAGACGGTAGCTTGATGCTTACGGTATGCGGTCAAGCCGATTACCTCCGCAAGGGAGTTATGCCGTTTTTCAGCGGCGATCGCGACGCGATTTACGACGCTCGTGTCGCAACGTCTGAAGTTCTGACGCTAGTGTGTTACGCGTTAACGTCACCTTCGCGATCCCTCGAGACGAACCGATCGAAGTAAATTGATCGTTGTGCCCGTTTTAGATGTCGTGAGAAGCTTTTTCGCTCGTGTGCACAGTTAAATCGATGCTGACATTTACAGCCACCTTCTTTTCGCGGCAACGCGCTTCTTCGGATCATCTTCTTTTAATTATTTCTTCGTTCACGCTCGGAATACTTTACCTAGATTTATTTCAAAATGTCTCGAGTCATCCGGTATTCGTTTGCGTGAAAGAATCCTCTTGTTCGAGAATTTTATCCAAAGATCCTCGAGGAAGACTTCGGTTGAAGCCTTGGATAAAAGAACGTCTTGATCTCGTAACGGTTTAATTGCGTTCAGCCGTGGGTACGTTCTCGTCCCTCGACGCTTTCCTTCATCTTGTAACACGATTCACTTTTAATTACTTTCGACCTTGCGAATATCTCTGTCGTGTCTGGTTGCCGGATGACTTCATGGAAACTGTTCTTCCGGCGCGTGGCGTCGAGGCGTGACTTGACCTTCTCCAACAATTCTGCTCTCCGCTGCAACTCCTTTCTAATCGATCCAGCCACGATATATCCCTGAAATATAATTGCGCGTTGCGTGTGTGCGACGCCCAAGAAAATTGCACAGGAATACGTAATCTTTCTCGAGAATAGTACCACTATCGAATTGCTTCGACTACGTTCGAGAACACCAGTGACTCTCGAGGTTATTTCCCC